TGAATGTAGTTGGAAACAAACTGAAATAAAATAAACCCCACATTTTCTTGGATCCACAAATTCCAGATTAAACTTTTCCAAGTGATTCAGTTTCATAAACACCAAGTTTTAGAAGAAAAAATTTTTCTGACACGATATTTTGGGGTTAATTTTTGTTTTATCTTCGACGATATAAAACAATTCTAAAGCTTTAAATTAACTAATTCGATGTTTTCGTTGTTTTTTATTTTATTATAGTGGATGATATAGCCAGCGGAAGGGAGATGTAGCATGGTTTTTTATTATCACGGTGTTTCCAGCGCTTAAGTTTTGAAGAAATTAATTCGATTTCTAATCACTGATCAAATTAACGTTAAACACAACTGATAATGAAATGAAGAAACATTAAAAATAAAAATCATTTGATTCATATTTGAAATCACATATGAACTCAAAAATCAGCATATTCAGATAAACAGAATTAAAAAAAAAAAAAAAAAACGAGTTCAAAGATTCATAAAACAGTTGCATAATTATAAAAACAATATAGAAATTTTAAAAGTGTTTTAGTATTATTGGTAATTATATAAAAGTCTAATTACTGTTAACCGATGAATATCAATTAACTAAAATTATGTTAATTAAATGATTACCTTCCACTTCCTACACAATGTTACATTAAAACGAATGTTGAGAGGCACTAATACTTAACTTAATTTAATTTACACGAAAAACACCGTTTGAATAATAACATATCAAAGATATAAATCTAACCAAGAAAAAATTTAAAAAACAATTGATAAATAAAAAAATATATTTCATTCCAAATTCAATGATTAAAAAAAAATTCTATTTAAGGGGACAATCCTCTTCGAAAAGTTAAATCCTGGCTCTCTGACAAAGTAATTAAACTCTTCAATCCATTGCCATGACTTTATAAACAAATTCGTGTCTTAAACAAAAACTAATATATATCCAGAAAATTATTGGAAGGGAGTTTATGTCCAAAACATTCTGCCGCTGAATGGAATCTGCCCAATATTTTAAAAAGATTTGAAATGTTGAACAAAATTTCAATAAAACTCATTAACTCAAAAAAGCTAAAACTTCTTTGACTACCGTTAAATTCATTTAAAGACTGTTGCGTGTTATAAATTCACAAGACTATTTTCAAGGCCATCTTTGTGAACCTGTTTTAAAAAATGTTTGATGTTCGGTGAACATTAGTGGTGATTTCAGGTGATCTTAAAACTATGTTTTTCACTGGCCTCAATCAAAATGCAAAACTTTATTTAGTCAATCACAGCCAACATCAAGTGGAACTTCCCACACGTCAATTTTAACCCCAAAGGAATTAAATTTTCTCGACCTGTTTTTAAAATATCTTTTATTCTTTTCAATTATGAAGCTCAAACTCAAAACAACTCTGATCATGCGGTAAAAATTAAGTTATTCGCCCCCCTCCCACCATTAAAGAACCTCCGACCAAGTGAATATCTTTCTTATCAAAAATGAGGAATTTGGACTCGTTCCGTGATTTCTTTCATAACGTCAATATGGAAGTTTCAGGAGACTGATTTGTTCAAAATTGCGTGCCTGAGGATTCCTCCTGTGTGGAAACCAATGTCGATGTTTTCATTTCAGCAAAGAAATACCATGTTAAACCGTGTCCATCTCCTTGGTTCTCGCCTGCATGCTCGGCCGCTATAGCTCACAAGAATCACGACTTTCAGCTGTACCAGAGCTGCATGTCTGATTGCAACAGACGTCTGACACAAGGTCTCTTCTTAAACGGAAAGTGCAAGTAGTTCTCAAAGAAGCAAAGTTTATATATTTGCTGATTTAATTAGCATCTCGAAAGTTCGGTTCTAGGATTTATTTTAAAACTCTAAAAGATTTGTGTTTTAAATAAATCAATTATTCTATTTTCAATCAATTCGAAGTCCTTTTATCTAAATCGGATCAAACTTAATACTTTGCTCGGAAATTGTCTTCCAACTCAATACTGATTTCCTTCCTGGAACTGAAAATTAAAAATACATCAGTTTTATGCGCATAACCTCGTCACTGGTTGGACATCAAAACTTTTTAGACTCCTCCCATATACAAGTGGAGGTGACGTAATACCAGCCGTCGTCCTAAAGAAATGTGCTCCCGAGCTGGCTCCCGTCCTCTCCAAACTCTACAACTATTGCCTCACTGCTTTCCAGCGTGTTGGAAGTCCTCCGCTGTAGTCCCTGCTTTTAAGAACTATAGGGAATCTTCTGGCTCCTCTAACTATCGCCCTATTGCCTTTCAGCAGATTATTCGAGGCTTTAAACAATGCTGAAGGATTTAAGCATTTTACCTCTCTCTGACAAACAATATGGATTCCGTTTTGCCCGGTCTACTGCTGACGTGTTTACAGCCATCACTGAATATGTATATCAAGCTCTTGATAATAACGATGAAGCTGGACCTGTGGCTCTAGATATCTCAGAGGCGTTTTACAGGGTTGAGCATGCTGGTCTTCTATGTATGTTACGGTATTACAGGATTATTTCTTGATTTAATTCAATTATTACTATTAAATCTTGAAATGAAGGTCGTTCTGAATTGGCTCGTTTCCAGTTCCTTTCACACGAACGTGAGAGTCCCTCAAGGCCCTATCTTGGTTCTTAAGCTTTTTCTGATCTTCATTAATGATCTTTAGGGTGTCATCAGTTCCCAAGTAGGCATTTATGCAGATGACACTATTTACTGCTGTCTCAATAGTAAATCCATCAGAACTGACAAATTTAACCTGGCCTCTTCTCTTGAAAAGGAACTCCAATCAGTGATTAATTAGGACAGAAAATGGCTTGTAAATTGTAATGCCTGAAAAACTAAAGTGCTTTTATTAAGCCACTATAGATAAACTTCCCTGTCTACCATAATCATGGCTGACTCCAGGAGATCGTCTCACTGCGTTTCATTGGTCTTACGTTTTCAACAAACAATTACATAGAATCAGTAACTGCATCTACTGCAAGGAAAGTTGGTTTATTCTCGTCAGAGTCCATCTTACACATTTACAAATCTACCATTCGTCCGTACATGGAATACTGTTGCTCTCGAGGTTCTTGACAAAATCCAAAAAAAGCATCTGCAATGTAATCGATCCTGATATGGCATCTCGACTTCAGTCACTTTCTCACAGACATGATATGGCCTTCCTCTGCCTTTTCTACAAATATTTTCATGGCAACTGCTCTGATGAGCTTTTTTACCTGGTTCCTCGACAACATGAATTTAAGCGCGCTACTAGATTGGTATCTAGGTCCCACCCTTTTACTTTTAATATAGTTAAATGTAACCATCACTTCTATTCCAAAAGTTTCTTTTCTCGCACTTCCCATAAGTGCAATTCCCTTCCACTTACTTGTTTTCCTGATAACTACAAAGAATTAAATTCAACGTAAATTGCCATCTTCTCTTGTCTTGAACCCTGCTCATCTTTTATCCTTTCGTCGCCACCTCCCATACCAAGTATTTTCCCTCACTTTCACTCTCCGTAACCCTCTGCATACTAGTGGCACTTCCGTTTTGCTTAGGGTGAAATTACTAAAAAAATATATTCGGGATTTAAAAAACTGTTGAATGGGTATTTTTCATGGTGCTCTATTGAGGTGCCATGGAGGAATATATAAATAAACTGTTGTTAAAAATCATAAACATCTGACATTTTGAGTGGACATAAAAGTAGGTACCTCAAATCAATTTTTTGATGCCTAAGGCTTGAAATGAATTTTTAAAAATGAAAAGCATTCTTAAAGATTTTATTTTACCTTTAATTGAAAGCTAAATGATTAAATTTATTATTTCCAGTAAGTAAAATATTCTGGTGTATTTCAGATAGAAATTATACAGACTGGAATATCAAATATATGCTCGATTCTTTAAAAATTTTCTTAAAAGCGGCCATTTTCTTAAATTTTAAGAAATTTGTAAACAAAAATATTTTCGATTTTAAAATTATTCCTAAAATAAATTATATATTTCTGACACGTTATTTGAGTATAAAATAAAGTTGGTGATTTACTTTCTCTAAGAGTCCTGTTTTTAACTAATAAAAAAAATCCCACTCTTAAAAATTTAATTTCTCGAAATTTTATCAAAATATGTAAGGGGCGGAAACATGTAAAAAAATATTTTTTACCAAGATTTTCTAAAAAAAATTTCAAAAATAATTTCATTCATTTCTGAATATTTCCCAAAATTTTCATTTAAATCTGACAATTATTTGAATTTTGCAAGAATTTCCAAATCCTCGGGAAAAGCTCAAAATAAAACAAACCTTTTTATTCCTCTCGTCGACCGCTGTCGTAAAAAAAAAGATTTTTAACCGAAATTTTGAACGTGCCAGAAAGGAGTAAAAAAAAATAATTAAAAAAAAATACTTTGGACTTTACTCTTAATAATAACATAAACATTTTGATGACAAAACTTTGTTTTCGTTGAATTTGGGGCCTTTTTTATCATGCTATGCTGCTTTTTTACGCGATCTCGTGGAGGTACCGACACAAAAGGGTTAACGGAATTTAACAGTCAGTGGACACGTCGAAGGTAAGAGATGCAGAGGTTATCAGTGACTGAACTACTTTCCAAGTTTTGAGCAAATAGTGGAACAAGAACCGCAAAGACAAAATAAATTGATGAACAAAAGGAAGGAAGTAGTGGAGAATCGTGAATGTATAAGTCGTGAAAGGGCATGGCAGATACGGATGAAAAAAAAATGAGGTAGACATTTCGAAATTATGAAAAAATATTATTAAATCTTTTTATAGTAAGTTTTGTTAAGATAAGAATGAAGTCTCACAATTGTGTCTAGTGTTTGTTTGCACCCTTCCCCAGTCGAAACCGAATCCACTTTTGTCTGCAATTCTTCGACAATCCGACTCTGTCTCCACCTCGTCCATAACGGAGTGAATGCCCAGAGGAATCCGGTTACAAAGGTTCCGGTGGCGGAGACACTGGATTACAAAAGTGCTGAGATATGGCCAATGCTTAAACGTGAACACTATCTGACCACTTCTCTCGCCAACAAACGCTATTCCGTCCATCCGCCAATCTACGCGCTTGATTTTTTTTTTCCATTTCGAGTCTATATAAAGTCGTTCCAAAAAGCGTCTTCTGCCAACGCCACATCCACCTTCATGAACAGACATTCCACCGTCCCCGATCCTCCCAAAAGACTCCGCCACTGAATTTACGTTTTGATAGCAGTCATGTTTAATTATCTAGACGACATGTCACTTTCATTGTATTCTCTCTCTTTCTCTGTCTCCTCTTCTCCCGGTTTCTTATCTCTCCTCCCCTTTAACTCGCCTGTCTTTCCTCTTCTCTTCTCTTTCTTTTACCGCCTTTTCTTTGTCTCCCTCTCTTATTTCTTTTCTATCCCATTCATGTGTTTCTCATTTTTACTCATTTCCATTTTTTTCTTTTCTTCTTCCTCTTGTTTATCTTTTAGTCTCTCACTTTCTCTCTCTCTCTCTCTCACTCTCTCTCTCTCTCTCCTTCCATTTTTCTATCCTTTTGCTCTCGACTTGTCTTTCTACCATACACGATCTCTCTCTCTCAATCGTTTTTAACTTATATTCTCTCTCTCACTCTCTCTTTCCCCTCCCTCCCTCTATCTTTTAACTATCATAAAGCTTGGCATATCAGCGCGAAAGGTCAAAGAGGAAATAGGAAATGGAGGGGCGAGAAGAACATGTCTGCCTTGAAAATCAGCATTCCGTTTTCAGGTTTGAATTGGGTGCACACAAAACAACCCCAAAAAACAGGCATCAGATGAAAATATTTTCTCTATGAAAAAGCCTCTCTTCTTGCTCTCTCTCTCTCATTTTCTCTCTCTTTATCCCTATCCCACACTACTTATATATATATATATATATATATATATATATATATATATATATATATATATATATATTGTCGCTGTATCACACTTTTCAACTTTACTCCGAAAGGTCGTAGCCTAATATATCATAATATTGTGGAATCTGTCCGACTCTGTGTGCAAATTTAAAACTCTCCGGGCCGAATCCGGGCCCGCAATCCTGAAATTTTGGATTCCCAAATTTTCATGATGGCGATTGTTTTCGGCGATTTCTTGCGAAATTTTTGTCACAAATTTTTTTTGTATAATAATTTTTATAACTTGGAAGTAAATTTAGCGAAAATCACCCATGAAATAAAAATAATTGTTCGTACGGAAAATAAGGACCTACGTACATCAAATTGTCCTTAAATAAAATGGCGACAGAAGAATTATCGTTGAAAAGGTAAGCGTAAATATTAATAAATTACTTAAATGCAGCGATCAAATTTAAGTTCTTCTGTAGTTTATTGTTGCCTATCGCATCTACTCTTCCCTGCCTATTGCTATGAAGGTCTAATTAAGAACTCTCCACGGGAGCTCATTTAAATGCCGCCTGATATGGTGGCTTTTAAGCAGGTATATATATATATAGAGAGAGAGATAGATAGATAGATAGATAGATAGATAGATAGATAGATTTGAAATTTGTTATATTTATCGGTAAGATGGTTCAATATCTGATATAGAGTGTGAACACAGGAATCAACAATATATACGAGCTGTTTATATCTATTTGCATATATATATATATATATATATATATATATATATATATATATATATATATATATGGCGCGTATGTGTTTGCATGTGGATGTGAAATGCTACTCAAAAGTTCAAAGAGTTTTCTCAGATTGGTCGATTTTTCAAAATTCGGAATTTTTCATGTGATTCCACGTAACCTCTCTTGAATTCGATCCTCCAGAAAATGCATGTGTTTTTTTTTCACCTTTTCTCACCCAATTAGATACATGCACAGAGAGGCTTGTAATAACAGCCATCGACTCGTTGAACGAGTATGACCATCGCTGACAAGTTTGATCAATAGTTTTGTTAGTTCTCCAGATACCGACAATGAATCTTTAAGTCAGCCAGTGACTTGCAAAACCTATCGCAGTTGTAACAAACTAAGTCGTTCTGTAACGGGGCAGGCCTGTTTTGTAACGTCTGGTCAACTTGCTCGTGGCTTTTCATGTGACGGGTGAGTGGTTTCTCTAGGTTTTCCAAAACACCCCGCATGTTAGTTTATTTCTACTGCAGTACGGCTCGAAATTTATCAAAGGTCGACCAATACAACCTGTTGTGACTAAAGGGGCCAGCATTGGAGAAATAAACTCTGTCACATTCATCTCATATAAATTGATGGATTACTTGAGGAATGATTTCCCCTTTCGTAGCTGCATGCTTGATATTTGCCCAACTCATTGGATGTTCTTGGATGTTCTTAGTGCCTTCATGAATTAAACGCTTCCACTTATCTTAAGCAGAGGTTTTTCACTTAGAATCTTCTATAAGGCAGGCTGTAAGAGAGTCTTTTAAACAGTCCTTGAGGTGTTTCCTTGGTTCAGGCTCAGATGTACTGCCGTAGAGCATTTGTTTAGGTGTTCTGCAGCCATAAACCTGGATATCATGGCCTGCCCAGCAAATACTGCGTCGATAAATTTGCGTTTCGATACCGACCGAGTACATTGGCCATTTCGAGGATCACTGTATCTGGTGTGTAGGATATCCAGTGGATACCAAGAATCGATCTTAAAAAGCTCTCCAGAACGTCAAAATGCCTGCAGTAGATGATCCATGTCAGCATAGACTACATCAGCCTGTCATTACGCAGCCATTTTAGATTGTCATCCTTGAGCACTTCCTAAGTCATCTCTCAGGTCAATGCCTCCTCCGCGGGTATCTTGGTGAACAAATCCACCACGTACAGCATCTAGGTGGATTGGATGGGAGCATATTTGATTATTTCTACGAAGGAGTTTCGAACATATGAAGGTGACTTTCCTATTAAATGGTCAATAACATCGACAAGGAAGCGACGCAGAGGGTGGCACACAGAGCCTTGGAAGTTAACAATCTGCCTGAACGGAATAGAGTCTTTGTAAATCTCCTGAGCCGACCAAACATAGAAATGAGTACAATATGGGAAACCAGTAATACTGAGTGCTAGAGAAAAGCAATAATAACAACAAAAAATACAATATTAGCTGTGATAAAAATGATTACTGAGACATTAGGTTTATACCACCCAGAAATTCATACACTGGTGTCCTAAAAGTACGCATGTCCAA